GACTTCCGGTCGCATTACGAACCTGGGCATCATAGCGTGCTACTTAGCTGTGATGCACAGATTGGCTGGGTGAGGTGGCTTATCCGCCGATCCCTAAAGTCGGATGATTGGTGTGGCAAACCATTCATCCTGATTCCGTAGCCGGGAATCGAAGCCTACCCAGATGCCCGTTTCGGGTAATCGTGCTTGGAAACTGCAACATTCGTTTCGAGAACGTTTACTTGGAAACTGCTACTGGCCTCATGGATGGCTATGCCTCATTTTTTGTATTATCCGGATGTCATCCATGCTACTAGGATGACTTCCGGTCGCATTACGAACCTGGGCATCATAGCGTGCTACTTAGCTGTGATGGACAGATTGGCTGGGTGAGGTGGCTTATCCGCCGATCCCTAAAGTCGGATGATTGGTGTGGCAAACCATTCATCCTGATTCCGTAGCCGGGAATCGAAGCCTACCCAGATGCCCGTTTCGGGTAATCGTACTTGGAAACTGCAACATTCGTTTCGAGTACGTTTACTTGAAAACTGCTACTTGCCTCATGGATGGCTATGCCTCATTTTTTGCATCATCCGGATGTCATCCATGCTACTAGGATGGCTTCCGGTCGCATTACGAACCTGGGCATCATAGCGTGCTACTTAGCTGTGATGCACAGATTGGCTGGGTGGGGTGGCTTATCCGCCGATCCCTAAAGTCGGATGATTGGTGTGGCAAACCATTCATCCTGATTCCGTAGCCGGGAATCGAAGCCTACCCAGATGCCCGTTTCGGGTAATCGTACTTGGAAACTGCAACATTCGTTTCGAGAACGTTTACTTGGAAACTGCTACTGGCCTCATGGATGGCTATGCCTCATTTTTTGCATCATCCGGATGTCATCCATGCTACTAGGATGGCTTCCGGTCGCATTACGAACCTGGGCATCATAGCGTGCTACTTAGCTGTGATGCACAGATTGGCTGGGTGAGGTGGCTTATCCGCCGATCCCTAAAGTCGGATGATTGGTGTGGCAAACCATTCATCCTGATTCCGTAGCCGGGAATCGAAGCCTACCCAGATGCCCGTTTCGGGTAATCGTACTTGGAAACTGCAACATTCGTTTCGAGTACGTTTACTTGGAAACTGCTACTGGCCTCATGGATGGCTATGCCTCATTTTTTGCATCATCCGGATGTCATCCATGCTACTAGGATGGCTTCCGGTCGCATTACGAACCTGGGCATCATAGCGTGCTACTTAGCTGTGATGCACAGATTGGCTGGGTGAGGTGGCTTATCCGCCGATCCCTAAAGTCGGATGATTGGTGTGGCAAACCATTCATCCTGATTCCGTAGCCGGGAATCGAAGCCTACCCAGATGCCCGTTTCGGGTAATCGTACTTGGAAACTGCAACATTCGTTTCGAGTACGTTTACTTGGAAACTGCTACTGGCCTCATGGATGGCTATGCCTCATTTTTTGTATTATCCGGATGTCATCCATGCTACTAGGATGACTTCCGGTCGCATTACGAACCTGGGCATCATAGCGTGCTACTTAGCTGTGATGGACAGATTGGCTGGGTGAGGTGGCTTATCCGCCGATCCCTAAAGTCGGATGATTGGTGTGGCAAACCATTCATCCTGATTCCGTAGCCGGGAATCGAAGCCTACCCAGATGCCCGTTTCGGGTAATCGTACTTGGAAACTGCAACATTCGTTTCGAGAACGTTTACTTGGAAACTGCTACTGGCCTCATGGATGGCTATGCCTCATTTTTTGTATTATCCGGATGTCATCCATGCTACTAGGATGACTTCCGGTCGCATTACGAACCTGGGCATCATAGCGTGCTACTTAGCTGTGATGGACAGATTGGCTGGGTGAGGTGGCTTATCCGCCGATCCCTAAAGTCGGATGATTGGTGTGGCAAACCATTCATCCTGATTCCGTAGCCGGGAATCGAAGCCTACCCAGATGCCCGTTTCGGGTAATCGTACTTGGAAACTGCAACATTCGTTTCGAGAACGTTTACTTGGAAACTGCTACTGGCCTCATGGATGGCTATGCCTCATTTTTTGTATTATCCGGATGTCATCCATGCTACTAGGATGACTTCCGGTCGCATTACGAACCTGGGCATCATAGCGTGCTACTTAGCTGTGATGGACAGATTGGCTGGGTGAGGTGGCTTATCCGCCGATCCCTAAAGTCGGATGATTGGTGTGGCAAACCATTCATCCTGATTCCGTAGCCGGGAATCGAAGCCTACCCAGATGCCCGTTTCGGGTAATCGTACTTGGAAACTGCAACATTCGTTTCGAGAACGTTTACTTGGAAACTGCTACTGGCCTCATGGATGGCTATGCCTCATTTTTTGTATTATCCGGATGTCATCCATGCTACTAGGATGACTTCCGGTCGCATTACGAACCTGGGCATCATAGCGTGCTACTTAGCTGTGATGGACAGATTGGCTGGGTGAGGTGGCTTATCCGCCGATCCCTAAAGTCGGATGATTGGTGTGGCAAACCATTCATCCTGATTCCGTAGCCGGGAATCGAAGCCTACCCAGATGCCCGTTTCGGGTAATCGTACTTGGAAACTGCAACATTCGTTTCGAGAACGTTTACTTGGAAACTGCTACTGGCCTCATGGATGGCTATGCCTCATTTTTTGTATTATCCGGATGTCATCCATGCTACTAGGATGACTTCCGGTCGCATTACGAACCTGGGCATCATAGCGTGCTACTTAGCTGTGATGGACAGATTGGCTGGGTGAGGTGGCTTATCCGCCGATCCCTAAAGTCGGATGATTGGTGTGGCAAACCATTCATCCTGATTCCGTAGCCGGGAATCGAAGCCTACCCAGATGCCCGTTTCGGGTAATCGTACTTGGAAACTGCAACATTCGTTTCGAGAACGTTTACTTGGAAACTGCTACTGGCCTCATGGATGGCTATGCCTCATTTTTTGTATTATCCGGATGTCATCCATGCTACTAGGATGACTTCCGGTCGCATTACGAACCTGGGCATCATAGCGTGCTACTTAGCTGTGATGGACAGATTGGCTGGGTGAGGTGGCTTATCCGCCGATCCCTAAAGTCGGATGATTGGTGTGGCAAACCATTCATCCTGATTCCGTAGCCGGGAATCGAAGCCTACCCAGATGCCCGTTTCGGGTAATCGTACTTGGAAACTGCAACATTCGTTTCGAGAACGTTTACTTGGAAACTGCTACTGGCCTCATGGATGGCTATGCCTCATTTTTTTGTATTATCCGGATGTCATCCATGCTACTACGATGGCTTCCGGTCGCACTACGAACCTGGGCATCATAGCGTGCTACTTAGCTATGATGCCCTGCTTTTGAATCGACTGACCACCAAACCTAGGTATTCCCCACCACACACTAAGTATAAATCCCTAAGCCTCTCTAGTCTACTACTTAGGGCCGTAGTCGGTCATTCCCCCAAACGCCAAAGCTTCCTGATCCCCCCTTAGTGCCGAGGCGTTGGCTGGGTGGCGGCTTATCCGCTGTATCCTAAATTCGGGTGATTGGCCTGGCAAGCCCTTCAGCCCTGATTCCGTAGCCGGGAATCGAACCCTACCCAAACGCCCGTTTCAAGTACTCTGGAGTACTTGGAAACTGCTATTGGGCGTTATGGATGGTTATGCTTTAGAACTTTGCTTCACCGGGTGTCCTCCATACTAGTCAGGATGGCATCTGGCCCAGACCTATATTGACGTGGATTGGCCAGCTATGTCAATATGTCCAGCCTCCCGCGGGGGTGCCATAATGGACCAGTGCTTCAGTAGCGTGCTACTTTGCTATGAAGACAAAAAACACATTACCATATCACCAGTAGACCCGGGGCCCAGCCAGACGTGGCTTGCCCAACCACTTCTACTTCTATTATCCTCGGATGATAGTTGTGGGATGTCCTTGGGTGATCCCCATGGTGGGATCGGCGATGACCCACATCAGGTTCTCTGATGCTGGTGAGCCTCTCCTTCAAGTGCCGAGCCTCTACGTGGCGAAGGAGATCAACTGACTCGACACTCCTTCAGGGGGATGTCGAGTCAGGCTAATCGGCACATGAATCCCATCGGCCCTCTTTATGGCCAACCATAACGAATATTGCTTTTTCTTCAACTAGTCTTTTAATTTTTTCGCGATTTCAATGGTCATCAGATAGTTGTATTGTTCGTTTATTAAAAATTGTATTTTAATTCAATTTGAAAAGTTGTGAATTCTTCCGAATTCGATCATGATCTCAGACTTTAAAAATTTTCGATTTTCAAAGACAGATTTCTGAGAGCTATTGTAACAAAAAATTTAATATAAAACTTCATTTTAACCAAAAAATATAAACAATTATCGCAGAACTCATGCAAATCAAAAATTACCAAATAAGATAGAATACTTAACTTGGAAACGTTGGAATGTGGATGAAAAGTCGATTTATTGATTAATAGTGAAGAAAAAACTGCTCTGCCAAATTCCCAATTTCATTCATTTTCTAATGAACAGTGTCATTTGACGACTATCACGAAAATTTGGGAAATCATCTCTTATGAATCTGTTCTGATTTGATTCATAAGCAGAATTATATCACAAACATCTGTTATCAATATAGAAACACCAAAGACAGGCCGATTTAGTCAATTCGTTCCAAAACTTCGACCAGCTTTTTTTGTTTTGCAAAATTCAACCCATATTCATCGTAATAATTTTTCAACGATTTTCTGTTTTCATATGATAATTCACAGCCAAAATATGGCGAAAAAAATTATTTCATGATTTGTGTTGGAAACCTGCTCTGCTGAAGGCGCGCAATTCAAAATTTTTCAATTTTAATACCAAAAATTCTGAATGAATTCAAAATCGAAATTATATTTTGTATTCCTCTTCGAGACACATAGAAAAAATCAGATTTTACCTTTAACGTACTGTAGCAATTAATTTTTTTTTATTAATTTTTCTAATTTAATTCAAAAAGTTGAATAAAATCGATGGGAATTTCTGGATTACTTCCATTTGTCAAAAATGCGTGCAGAGCGGTAATTTTTTAAAATGATTTCACTCAAATTAATAAATTTTTAGGGTAATATTATTGAATTAAAAGGAAAATCTGTAGCGGTTGATGTGAGTTGCCTTCTTCATCGAGGTCTCACTGGATGTATGGACAAAATTCATATGGGCAAAGATACCACAAGGTAATTTGAGTATGAATATTTCAAATTAACCATAATTTATGCAATTTAGTTATGTCTATTACGTGGAGAAATACATCAAAGAGCTTTTATCATATGATTGTCATATTGTGATGGTGTTCGACGGTCGGCCGCTTCCTTCAAAAAAACAAACCATTTTTTTTCGAAAGTGGAGAAATGTCGACATCGTCGTGGCGCCGTATGAAGTGATGAAGGCCGAACTAGTCGACGCCGTCATCACGGAAGACTCGGATTTGATTGTTTTCGGCTGCGAAACCGTAAAAATCGGGAAAAATTGAAATTTTGAAAAACCAATTGAAGATCTATTTCAAATGGCAATCGGGAAGCGGCGAATGCACTGTTTACGAGAAGAAGAACCTCCCAAAGTGTTTCACCGGTGAACTAGGCGGCGACAAGTTCGACTTTGTGAAATTCCGGAGAATCTGCATCATTTCCGGATGCGACTACCTCCAATCCGGTGTGTCATGGACGACGTCAAAAATGCCGCGAAGAAGCGCAAAAATGCTCCAGACATCGACTATTCAGCAGAGGAAATGTTGGCGAAGTTTGCGAAAAAACCAAAAATCGACGAACCTGAAGTCGACGATGCGATTTTCGGCATGAGATCCCAATTTGGCCTTCCATTCATTTTTCATATTTCAGAATTCACCACACAGCCATCATCTTCGCAACCTGAAATGACTAAAATTGACAATTCAATTGAGAAAGAGGAGCCGGCTCTGAAGTCATCACCGATTGCTCTAAGAAAGACAAAATCATCTCCAACGTCGTCAAACATCAAAAAATTCCAGTCACCCATACTTACTACGAGAAATTCCGAATCAATTGTGCCATCAAAACCAAAAATTGTCAGTCAAAGTCGATTTTTCGCCACAAACACTGGGTAAATCAACATTGAATCATATAAATTTGAAAGTTTCGCACAAATTCAGATCACCTAGTGTTTCAAATCCTTTCCGAAAGCCGGCGTTTACTGAGGAAATCGCGAAGAAAGATTCTGAAGAGAAAACACCAAAAATTCTGAGATTTAAAATATTCAATTGAAAGTTAAATATCTTTTTCATATTCAGGACTCTCCTCTATCTGTGATTGAAACTGAGAATACTGTAACGATCAACACTTTCCGGTTTGTCGGCTGTAAAGGGGCCGGACTCAGTCGAAAAAAGTTCTAAATATTTTGTGTCATGATTATGTTTTTCTATAAAATGCGTCATCTCGTGTAGTTTTTATCTTATTACGTTATATATTTAGAAATGAATTTAAATTCTTACAAATTGCTTCACTTTCTGTAAATCTGTCTTATGCTGCCAGGCTCAAAATGTGGAAATGAAAATATCACGCATAAAACTGATTTATATATTTTGATATTATAATTATAATTTATATTTCAATTTACTGCCCCATATTCCATTAATTTTGTCAAATTCCAATTTTTTTTAAATGAAATTCACTCACTGTTGCCGCAAAGTCTGTGCAAACACCAAGTCCGCAAACACCGCTCGTGACGTGTTTTCCCAGCCTCCTCGCAAATTGCTGAAAATCTTTCATTTTTTTTAGAAATGGCTGATAAATTATTTGCTATTCGCAATTATTTCTTTTTGGGAAGTTATCAATCATGCATTGGCGAGGCTTTGGTAAAATTTATTCCAATTTTAATATCGTTTTTTGTGTTTTCATAGAAATTCTCTTCAAAAAACGAGGAGGAGAAACTTGAAAAAGATATTTATCTGATAAAGTTTTCTTTTTCGGAAATGTTTTCTGTGAACATATTAACCATTAAATTATAATAACTCAGAACGTGTTTCTAATCCTACAAATTAATTACTTTTCATTGCGATTTATTAGTGGAGCGGCATTACTTTTCACTTGCGATTTATTAGTGGAGCAAGCTGAAAACAATTTTGGCACATAACGTTTATAGCAATAAAAAAGGGGAATGACTGAGAAACCTTTTGTCTTTTTGGTCCCTACTTTCTGTACACTTGGGGTCGTGGGTTCGAGTCCCTCTTGCGCAACATTTTTTTGCGACTGTGATAATTTCGAAAATGGTTGTTAGTTGCGTTAGGAAAGCCCACCACAAAAAATTGCGATGTCTGAGGCCGGTTTGGGCCAAAACTGAAAAGACAAACAAACGTAGGTCTAAATAATAATAATGTTTTCAAAAAACTAGGCGAAGGTTAAAAACCATTCTAAATTTTTACAATTACTGCAGTTTAACGAAATGGTCTCTAATAAACAATGGTCTCTAATCTCTAATGAACAACAGGACCATCGCGGGCCATAAGAGACTGCTACCCAGAACAAAAGAAATATATATACAGTACCGTGCAGTAAGATATACAATTTCACTTTTTTAATCATAACTTTCTGAAAAGTTGACCAATCGATCTGAAATTTCTGGACAACACGGATAGTGTGTTACCAAACATAATTAATTTGATTTGAGACACTATAGACGCAATTTTTGTGTTTTGGACCTTTTTTGCGTATTTTCAAAAATGCGACTTTCTTAATTTTTAAGTTTTTTCGATTTTTTTTTAGATTTTCAATGTTAACATCAGTTTTTTTTATTTGTTTTAGCAGGAGACGATCAAAATGATCAAAAAACATTCTATCAGACGTTTTAAAGCAATCAAGGATGGCCGAGCACAAGGTCTTTTCATCCAATGTCTATCACACCAGTTGAACTCATCGACTTGGACCATTTGTGGATATTTGAAATCTCGATCGGATTCCAAACCACTTGGAAATCCTTCCAAAACATCTCCGGCAATCAATCGCACCATTGTAGGAATCAGCAAGAGCAACCCGCGTCTATCCGCTTCCGAGATTAATCGGCAACTGAGTCAGTTCTATGATGTCAACGTAGATTTTTCCGAAAAACCATGACTTTTTTTTCACCAAAAGTCACATACAGATCATTGTTAGTACTGTCAAGCGTCGTTTACGCTGTTTTGGATTATTTAGACTTCGTTCTGTCTAAAAACCACTCATTTCGGAGAAGAAACGCCGCGACCGATTGAAGTGGGATAAGGAGCTTTTGAATTGGACTGTTCAACAATGGTCAAAGGTTGTATGGAGTGATGAATCGAAGTATATGTTGCTCGGAACTGATGGTATTACCTTTGTGAGGTGTTCGGACTGCAAAAGATTCGATGCAAAGCATCAATTACCAACAGTGAAACATGGAAGAGGAAGCGTGATAGTTTGGGAATGTTTTACTGCTTCTGGAGCTGGCCCACTTCGTCGAATCGAAGGAAATATGGATCGCTTTGCGTATAAAGACATTCTCGAGAACCATATGCTACCGTTTGCAAAGTCTTTGCTCGGTGTGGATACTTATTTCAACAGAATAATGATCCTAAACTTTTCTCTCGCTACATCAAAGAGTGGTTCTAGCAGCGTCGGGTGGCCGTCATGGTCTGACCAAGCCACCTACCTGTCTTGAACCCCATTGAACATTTGAT